GAATGTTTTCATTCTTAAAAACATCAAAACTTCATCCAGCATTCAATCCTTAGATGAATTATCTTCGGATCATAACCCAGTCACCATCGAACTGGAGATTAGTCGCCATAGCACACCAGACAAAGGAGCTGTTATTATAAATTGGTCTAATTACACCCAAAGCTCTAAACCACACCCACTACAGTAACAGTACAATACACACAAGAGATGAGCTAGATGTTTTAGTAGAAAATTTCACTAACGAACTCTGAACGGCGTATCATGCAAATACAAAATCAATTCCTAAAGAAAAATCAAGCATAATAAAAACGTAAAAATTCATGCAAGAAAGGTATGGCAACGCTCAGGGTATCCTGATGATTAAAGAATCCTAAACGCATTACATCAGGAGGTCATAACTGTACTCTTACTAAAAAAACATGCTCGTAAATCCTGGGCTAATTGCCTTGAAGGACTTGCTACCGATGATAACTCAATATGGAAAGCCACTTCGAGGTACAAAAGATGCTACACGAATATTCCGCCCATTAAAGGCCCCACCAGGATCGCATACACGAAAACTGAGAAAGTCCCTAGCAGATTACTATGCTACTCAGTTTATCACTAACAACATTCTTGATATGCAAACAGGACACACGGTTACGGAAACAGACGTTTTCAGCTATATCGAGAACCTAAAGAAAAAAGAAAAAAAAAAAAAAAAAAAAAAAAAAGAGTCTGGGAATTGATAACGTTACCAGCTTGCTTTCATCAAAAACGTTATAATTTCTAACGTGTTAAGACTCGTCGCTGTGCTTTATTTTCGAGGCTTGCGTGACGCCATCTTTCATCAAGAAGATGCACAACCGCATGTAGCCAGTACCTCCTACATGTATGTAGGAGGTACTGATGTAGCCCGTGCTGTCCTGACATTTTTCGGTACAAAGGGTGTTGAACTGTTACCCTAGCCAGCACATTCTCTAGATCTCTCACCCACTGAGAATATCTAAGCATGGGTTGCTAAGAGACTGTCACGCCACCACTCGCTAGCCCCTAGAATTGCTGAACACTGGCATAGCATTTAAACTGCATGGAATGTAGTACTCATTTCTGTCATCCAAGCTTAGTTCGACTCAATGCCCAACTGAATTACAGCCGTTATTGCTGCCAGAGGTGGCAGCTCTGTGTGCTGAATTCTGCACGCTTTATATCATAAGCTACCTGGAAATTTATCTTCTTCCCATTATATTGCATTATAAAATAAATACGATACTGTTATTTGCTTTATTTCCGATGTACCTATTTTAGTCACTAGCATTGTGAAACAAATCTTCGGTTCTGTTGTTTCGAGAGCATAAGCAAATGGGTATTAGCTAAAATATAGGTTCATTCCCTTTCATTCTCCTCTTCAGTTTCACTTGTTTTATATCCATATTACTGGTATTATGGGCATTTATGCTTTATTTCGATTTATTTGTTTTCTTCCTTCTGAGCTATAAGGCTGGATGTACATGACAAAAACATTGCTTACACGAACGTGCTTTTTTAGATTTATGCATAATTCAAACTTCTTATGAACCATTTAAATGTTTGAGTCTGATAAGTACGACATTATTTGTTCATGCTCCGGATATATTTTACTTATCATAACAAAATTTGCATGTCATTAGAAAAATCTGAAGAATAAAACTGTTTAATAAAAAAAAAATGTCCTATTCCATAGTGTTTTTTTTTTTTCCCTTAAAAAAAAAAAAAAATCTGAAAGGTTTCAGATTTTAAATTGTATCCAAAGGGGCGTTTTTTAAATATTTTTTGTGTTACCTGTATTTATTAAACATCATGTTCTACGTACTCAAACTATAAAATTCAGTTCAACAGCAATATTGCAAATTAATTTTAAAATGAGCATATCTTTAGAATTTCCGATACAGAGTCTCGCGCGTTGGAGATACAATTTTTTTTTCGTACAGTGTTGCCGTTGCTCGCTTTGAAATCGTTTAGTTTTTTAATAAAAAATTCGTTGAAGTGTTAAAAAATCTTAAATCGATAATAAAGCAAATTTTAAATTCAAATTAGGGCTTCCACATGCCCATAGTCTATGGAAGATTACGTTATTCAAATTTTGATTGCCGTTGTTTTATCACAATGCGAGAAACAAACATACGTTTTTGCAGATTCTTCATTATTTAATTTCTTTAAATATAAGACAGGGCGATAATATATGGTGGTAAAGATTTGACAAGTGATACAGCCTTTTAAAGTTAACCGACGCAAAATGCCAAAACGAAATTAATAGTCCTTTAGGGCAAACTGCTGCTTTGTACTAAAACATTTCCTCCAGCCTAATATACACAAGTAAAGGGAAGTAATGTTTTCGGTCGAAAAATTCGGTAGTGAGTTTTCAGTGAATAAAGCTCGAATTTTTCATCCACGGTAACTCTTATTTCAAACTTTCAAAAATTTCTATTTCCTGAATTTAAGCTTTCTGCATTCATTCAAAGTTGATTAAACTTTAGATAAAATTGGACAATCGGAAGTGGTACTTTATTTGAAGCCCATAACAGTTTTTAATGAAAAACTGTATTAAAATATTATCCGAAACTTTTCAGTTTTAATATTAATACTTTTATATCAATGAGAACAATAAATTAGATTTCGGCTAAAAGTGATGAATCGGAAGAGATATTTTACTTGAAGTTTCGTGAAAAAGTAAATTATAATTTAATCCTAAGCGTCTGAAATTTGATATTTAAAACTTGTATATACGATGCATAATACAATCATGATTGAGAACAACATATGAGATTTTGACTATATAACTGGAAGTAATACTTCGCTTGGAAATCAGATTTTTGTGGAAAAATATAGAATCACTGTAATAAGAGTTCAATATAAAATAATGAAGCCTATATTAAGATTATTTCTCTAATATCTAAATAGGATAGCCAATTGTATCCAGCTGCGTAAGAGAATGACTTTTATAACACCTTTTTGTTTACAGAACTTCAGAACTCTGGTAAATCAGTTCCATTGCTGATAATTAATGGACTGTATTCTGTAGATTTGTTGTTTTATACATTCACTAGAACTTAAAGAGAAATTATACGCTCATAATCTTGACCGGATTTTATTTATTTGCTTCTTAGAGATATCATATTGGTTGAAGAACAGCAACTCCCCAAACGCGGCGAAAACTCGAATTCCACCTTGCTTCATGAAAACATGCCTCAAAAGAACATCTACGCGGTTGGAATTCCAACATCTACCAACTGAAGCTCCAAGCGCAAGTTTAAAAAATCTAACTAATTTGCTTTTGCACCGCTCCTCAGCTTAGCGATTAAAAATACTATTTGCATAGCATCAAACACTTCCCCAGCCTTTAAAGCCCCAAGGATGTTCAAATAATAAACTAATCAGAATTAAATAAAAAATAAATATTCCTGAAAATAGGAAGATAAAGTCTCTACTATCAAGAATTAAATGGTCAAGGATATAGCTGGGTCACTTCATTTCATCATTGGGATAGCGTAAAAGACCTCCACTAGAACTTTGTCATCCATTGCAGGATACGCTTTGATAATTCTGCCTAATTTCCAGCGTAGCGGAAATAGGTTCCCGTTCTGAATCAATACCATATCACCAACTTTTAGATCTCGTGGCAACGTGCACTACTTAGGTTGCAGCACTACCTCTGCTGCAACCTAGACAAATACTATTCATTCCAGCGCTTCCAGAAGCGTTGAAACAGCCTCTGCAAGTTCCTCCACTGATCACTGTAGCTTCTCTTGAATTAGGTTAGGTTCTGGAAGAGTGAAAGACTCCCGTTAGGAAGTGTTCTGGTATTATAGCCTCCAGGTGATTACAGTCACTTGATGCTAGTAGTAGTGGCCTAGAATTAACACAAGATTCAGTTTTATTATCCGAAACTTTTCAGTTTTAGTATATAATACTTTAATAATAATAATGTAACAACGTGTTACATTTTGCCTAAAATTGATAAATCGGAAGAGATATTTTACTTAAAGCTGTGAACAGAGGTTCGTGAAAAAATATATCACAATATAATCCAAAACTTCTTTCAAGTCAAAAATTTCTCATATGTTAGAAGAAGTGTTCCTAAACATTGCTTAAAGTGGTGTTTATAGATTTTAATCTCTGCTTCTCAAAATCCTCCAAGATGAGGTGCAGAGGGTGAATAAAATAACCACTTAATATTCTCTAAAGAAATGTACCTCTGATTGTGTTCATCACGATGATAAAGCTTTCTTTAGTTCTTCATTGGATCCTGTAAAATTCATTACATAATCGCTAGGAATTTCACATGGTTTGCCTTTACGAGCTGTTTGCACAATCACTATGAATCTCACAACCTTTTCTCTCTAAGTTAGCAAGAAATGGTTTTATTGAAAAGTCTTCAGTTAATTCTAATGTATTGCTCTGGTAGTAAACCAAACAAATAGATGTACATAACACTTAAAGATTTTAATTCCTCTACCAGCACGATATTTGACATAATATGGCCCTGCAAAATCAGCTTCTATACGAGAAAAAGCTCTTGGGTAACTCTTGAAGCTGGTAAATCTGCCGTTAGCTGCCATTTTGTGCTCGAAATCTACATAAGATAACACATTGGTTTAAAAGTTTCTAATAATATCTCTAGCACTTACAATTCAAAATCTCTGTCGTTTGACAGAAATGAATAGTTGAGTACTTGTCTGAAGATACGTTTCATACTAATGCTTAATAATTAAATGCGTAATCATATGATTCTTAGGCAAAATTATAGGATGTTTTTGATTATCCATATGGAATCTAAGAAAGGATTTAAAGACCTTGCTTTATATTTTCAATGGATTACTTGCTTTTGAACAGAATAATTCATCTGAAAATTCAGGTGCAACAGAAATGTTATACGACAGTCTTCTTATACTGTGTATTTTTGTAATTCGGAATAATTATGTTTGCATTATTTTTAAATATTTAAGTATGCATAATGCAAAATTATCTATTTTACTTTTTAGTGGTTTGCCTCCTCATTATCTATATCCGTCTGCTTACTTGCCAGCTCCTGGACTTATCTTGCCTGGTCCGACACCAACACATGCGCCTTTGTCTCCGGCTGCAGCAGCTGCTGCTGCTGCGGTAGCCAACCCATTCTATGCTGACTACGCCGCAGCTTACCCACCTCAGTTCGCCAATGGATTAGAAGCAGGCTATGCTCCCTTTGCTACTCTAGCATCTACATCTGGCGGACATCATCATCCCCATGGCAGTGGCGGCGGTTCAGCTGCCGCAGCCCTTCCACCGTATTTGACTCCAACTACTTCATCAGCAGCATACGCTTATGCCTTACAGCCACCACCTCATCATCAGGCTATTCCCACTGGGGCCCCAGCTCATTTTCCTGTGCCTTATCCTGCTCAGCCCCAAGATGCTCGTATGCAATGACTCTTTAGTCATTGAAAGCAAAAGCAATATGAGTGTATTTGGTGTCAAATGATTCTTTTTATCATAATTATTTTTATCTGTAAAGCTCATGTCAGTATTCAGTTTGCCTACCAAGAATAATAAAAAAACATGAAAGGAAATTCGCTGTACCAATGAGAACTTGATGACCTGCTTTCTTCCATGTAATAAGAAACTTCTACTTCCAAAAATGGAGGGCGGGAGACTGTAGTAGTTTTTTTTTTTTTTTTTTTTTTTTTTAATCGTTGAATTTTATCATACTTCAAAATAGATCGAATTAGATTATTATTTAGAATGAATACTTAAATCTAAGCTCAAAACAGCATCATGTTCAACCAGTTGAAGTTACTATGCACCTAATGGCTGCAGTACAAAATTAGCTAATTTAAGGAAAACAGTTATCACTTTTACAAGAACTACATTTCTGCCTTCCATATTTCCGTTTGCGCCAACTATGATTATTAATTAAAAGCGAGCTCGAAAATATATCCACGAAAATCGAAAGCTTCTCTTGCAGCATAAATAATCACTTATACTATCAAGGCGGAAAGACCAGATGTTAGAACATAGTTAATCCATGCAAAATATCATTCGAAAAGTGAAATATGTCCGAAGTTTTTTGCTACCTGTTATGTCATTTGGTCCTGCTGTCTTTATGGAAAGCCAGAGACTACACAAAAACTCGGTGGCAACATGCAGCATTCTGAAAGAGAAATTGCTGACAAGTCCGTTGCTTGTTGAGGTTTATGATGTAAAAACAGTAATCTTTTTTCTCTATATTTCTCTGTAAATGTTGTTCAGATTTTTTTTTTAATCTGTCCTATTTGTTCCATAAAACTACAGCCCTCGTTTAACAAAATAGAAATTCCTTTTTCTGTTTCTGGGAAATTAAATGGCAAAGGGTTTTCATTGGCCAATTCCATAATATTGTACTATCATCTGAAGTTCCTGCATAGTTACATATAAAGCTTTTGTAAATTTGGTCTGCTCTTCCTAGAATTTATCGACGATTCAATTATTATGTACTAGGACTGCGTACATGATAAACTCATATATTTTATTCTGAGCATACTGCCCTTAATTAAAAAATTTCGTATTTCAGACAATCTGTTCTTAAGTAAAATAATGTAATGATGTTATCTAAATATAAGCTCAATAAGTTTTTAAATTTATCCTTTATTAACCAAATGTACTAATTTTGGTGAAAGGACTAAATCAGAGTTTTGCTAAACAGGAAAATTCATTTGAAAGAAGAGAACGAATTCAGACTGAACTAATGTATGAATTTTTTGAAGATGTTTAAAGATTCAATCCAATAGCCATTTGTAATACTCATTTGCCATAGTTTAATTTCTCACTGCTTGATTTAGTTTTGATAATATTGTTTATATATAATTGACTTCAGATATGAATGCCGAGCGTGTCGGTTAAATTTCTAATTAAAAGGAATTTTACTTTTTAAAAAAGAAATTGACTCCATTTACACTCATTCTCAAATCTCTTTAGAGCTAAATTTATCTCAATTTGGTGCCTTATTATTTTCTATATTACAAGAAAATTTGCAGAAGAAATGGCAACTAAGCGCTTTTTATTATTCTTTATTTGTGTTGTCTAATTAGAGTTAGAGCTCAATGTTAAATCTTTTAGTTACGCGAAAGGAACTGAATGCAGTACGCACTTAAGTCTGATAGAAGAAAGAATAGTATTTAATACTGAGATGAAAGTGTTAATCTTAGGTTATAATTTTGGTGATGATGATAATATTTAGTTGATAAAATGAAGTTTAAGCAAACTAGGATTATTTGAATTCTTATATTTTTGTGGAATCCTATGAGACTGATTTCCATGTGGTTGAGCATATAGATTCTTCTTGAAGAAATAACATCTGTGCCGAAAGTAATACGTTAAGTGTTTATTACATACTTCATTCAAGAATTATTAGAACTTTCATTTAACAACTGTCTGCTATTTGCAGTTTTTAGCCTTACAAAGCCTTAAACGAGCTTCCAGTAAGGTTTTTGATATAAGCTGGATTTTTAAAAGATGCCAAAGCAGGATTTTATAATGCATCATGTATAAGCCTTTATTAAATATACAACTACGTTAGATTCTAGTAAAATGTATTGTGAAAGTAAGTATGTGTCCTATTTTTAAATTGTTAATATTTGTCACGCTGAGTTGTTCATCGTGAAACTGTCTGCATTTTCATCATTTATGTATTACATATGTAAAAGCTACATGTGATACTGAAGTTAATCTCTAGTCGAAAATATTTTTCTTTCCCGTTTTTCTCATTTAATTTAATAATTTAAAGATTTATTTCATTATTTTGAAATAAGATTTCATCCCTTAAATTTTTTTGCAAATGTAAACTATCGCTCTCTACCTCGAGAACCTAAGCCAAACTTAAATATACCTTTAATTTTGTTTTTCAACCTGAGTAAAAACCTTGAATGTAAATGTCAACTTGTTATCTAAAAAAAGAAATTCTTTATTGGACATTCATCATTTTGTTTCTTCAACTTGAGATTAACATCATGTGAATGGTACATGTCATTAATCTTGGTTATCATAAATATCGAAATTAGTGATGTTTAGTGTACATATGTGTATATTGGTTTTGCCATGTTCTCCAAATTCAGCGGTAACATCATAGAGAGTGAGGGAAATGTGAAGGGGATTGCAAAAACAACTACCAAATGTAGTTAATGCATATCTTACTGATTCTCTCCTAACGCAAAACGAAACGCTATCATGTATGTGCATTTCTCTAAGATGTAAGTAAGCGAATGATAATCTATCAAGCAATAAAATAATTTCAACACAAATGGTCAATTGCATTATATGTCAACGTTTTAGGTATTTTAGTTTATAAGAAACATTACATATTCATTCCAATTTCATCAATCATCCTTTTTTTAACTTGCATTTTGAGGTACTGGCCATAATTTCTGCAGCAGGATTAGGCATAAGCAGAAGTAGTGTTATATAAATTAACGGACGTTTTGTGTATGTATAATTTTATGACTTACTAAATGTAGTAATAGATATAAATATCACTAAAGCTTGTAAAAATGCTATACAAATGCTATATAAGTATGAATAGCTCGTTCTGCCTCAGAAATTTATTACACAAATTAAATTCAGTGCATTTTGCGGTTTTCTAACTAAAGTTCATGAGCAAGAAAGCTTGCTTGGAAATCAAAGTGCAATATATAAGAAAGATATTGCTATAAAAAGCAAACTTGAATATTTAATACTTTTTTGTAACCACAGAACATTGAATCCATTACACTGAAACTCAAGTTTCGGTTCTAGTTTGCATTTATTTTTACACAAATCTACGCGGTAAAATTAATTTCTTTTATCTATCTTTTACAACATTTTGCATATGTATTTTAAAACATTCACTTGAAATGACAGAGAGTATTGAGGAGGGATATGAAAAGTCATGTAGCATTAGTAGCTTAATATTCTTTCCGATGCTTAAACCACAGAATATATACAGAACGGAATGGATTGCAAATATTCTGAAATTTGGAAGATGCTTTGAATATAAAATACCCGTCGTATGTGAATTTATTCCGTTACGTGATTTTATTCCACCAATAGGGAGAGTTGTTTTTATTATTTTTTTTTATATATATATTTTTAATTGCTGTTTAGAACAGCTTTTCAAACCATTACAATTTTATCGTTTCTAGAATTTTCTCTGAAGAAATTCGCTGAATTTGGAGAACAGTTGTTGACATTTCTTATGCACCTGTTAAGTATATTGCGCTTTCATCCAGTCATTTATTTTATTGTCATTCTCATCCTTACTTCAATGTAGGCTCATTTATCTGTATGTCTTTACTATTTATTGGATCATATGCTCACAGAGGCATAGTCAATGCTCTTTGATTATTTATTCGCGTTTTGTTTTCCTACTCTCAGAATATTTGTTAGAAAAATTATGTCTTTCACAATAACAAATATGGAACACTTGTTTGGAGACTTAGGCTCCAATATTACATATAATAATGTATATATCAGTAATTTTTATAACTCAAGAGTACCTGATGTGATATATCTCTACAGATGACGATATCTTATGAAAAGTGCTTACAACATTTGTTTAAAATACTGCATCTTAGCTACAGTTCGGAAAGCAGAAAGGAAAATCATTATATTCACATGTATGCCATCATCATTTATTCACATTATTAAGGTAAGCAAGGGAGAGTATATTGTATAGGTCCTCTACACTGTTTTCCTTTTCATCTTCTACAGAAAAATTTTCAGATTATTGTTGAATGATTTTATAGGTCAAAGAGCTATGTGCTATGCATTATTTGTTATTTTAAGTGATAAAATATATTTATGTAATATACAAGTATGTTTATTTATTAAGGTGTATATTTTATCGTCAGTCTTATGTGCTTAAAGCAATATTAACCAAAGACATACTTAATGATAATTTTCGCACCTCTCTTTCATGATCTGCAAACTTCATTTATCTCAGAATGATGATAAATGAATTTTATATTTGTTTTATTATTAAGTATCTATAAAATTATTTTCTAATCAAAAATGAATTTGCTTCAGTGTTGATTAGTAAAAATTTTTGTACAACTCTATAAAGTTTAAAAACATTATAATACAAATCAAAATATTTTACTGCATTCATTTTTTTATTTAATTTGGGTTATTATTCCTTAAGCATTTCAATTAGTTAAAAAGTAATATATTAGGGCCGATCTTGAAATAATTAGGGGGGGGGGCAAAACCATTTCTTATAGCTATTCTTCCCGGCCCCAGGGTATCATTTTGAAATATGAGCGACTGCTCAGATGAGAAATAACTATGTAAAATGTCGTTAAGCTGCAGCATGTATAGAAATAAACCTATCATCTTATTTAAAATAATAAGTGATCTTCTTACGATTTTTTTTCTTGCAACGCCTTGTGAACGACTATCACTCTGTCGTTTCATGAGCAGTATATCAGCTGCTATAGTTACATCACTTTGTTCAACGAATTGTAAGGTATACTGAAAAAACAAAGAAATACCTTTTCATGCTCTTATTCTAGTACCACAATAATATATTTCTCGTTTAAAGCGTAAAAGTTTTTTTTTTTTA